CCGTAAACAAAGATCCATTGGCAGCATCGTGCAGTCTTCAGCAACAACTGAACAAAGCTGAAAAATGGTTTTCACTGTGGCGAATAGAGGTCAACAGCTCAAAATCGGTTAATGTAACATTCACACTATGCAATCAAACATGTCCTGCAGTTGAACTTAACAATACAATGATTCCTCCCGAAGAGTCGGTGAAATACCTCGGCATCCACCTGGATAGGAAATTAAATTGGAAACAACATATAATTAATAAAAAACAGCAATTAGATCAAATCTTTAAAAAATTCTACTAGGTACTAAACAAAAATCCTGAACTCTCAGTTTACAATAAACTGTTAATATACATGGTGGTACTCAAGCCCATATGGACCTACGGTCTCCAACTTTGGGGTACAGCAAAAAAAAGCAATCTGAACATCATCCAACGTGCTCAAAACAAAATCCTGAGACAAATATTAAACGCTCCTCGCTACACCCCTTCATGGATTATCCATCAAGACACAGGCTTGCTCACACAGGCAGAATAAATTAAATAACAAAAAAAATTTAAAAAAATATATAAAAAACATCCACATTTACAGGTATGACTAAAAACATTGGATAACACTTAAATGCATTAAAATAAATTGAGCTATTGTAAATAAATTTGTTCTATGAATCGCAGTGTGTAATTTTTAATATACAATTTCATTGAACATTTTTTAATATTTGTTAAATGGATAATTAACGTGTTAACTGTGGGAATTGAGAATAATCATTTTGTTTGAAGCAGTTCTACACTTAACATCACTCATATATTGATGTAAATAGTAATTCGAAAACCAATAATGATTATTTTTAACTGAACGGTATAAATATTAGTATAGGGTAATAAAAAAAAACGTAGATGTGGGTACATGACAACGACTGTCATGTCATCTAGTATATATATATATATATATATATATATATATATATATGTATATGTATATATGTGTATAGATGCATATGTGTATATATGTGTATATATGTATGTATATATGTATACAGTGGCGGCGCTAGACAATTCGTCGGCGTCAGCGAAATTCGTTTGCGAGGACCCCCTTTTTTAAGGCCAATTACATTAGACTTTCCGTGCCGTAATTTAGATGTTAAAAAAAAATATTTTTTGAAAACTTTGAAAAAAATTTACTTTTTTTCTAACTTGAACAATTTATTTTTATTTCAAAACTTTTCGAAAATTTTGAACTTTTTTTTAAAGCAGTCACGCCACGTTACCTCCTTGAGACGAAATATCGAAGTGCGCGAACACCGCGTTGCGATCTAACGGTTATACGAGTACATTGGTACGGAATGCATAAACAAGTAAACAAAATTTGTAATTATTACTCAAATCTTTATAAAATATCTGATAATTTGATGCGCGTGTGTATAATGATCACTTTTGTCCGCCAAATGGCTTTTCTTTTCCAGTTTTTCATTTTGTTAATCAGACGCTTTGTTTTCTCAAAAACTGAATTATCATTTTGCCACTTTTTGCCCCGTGTCTTAGAAACGATTTGTTCTGCCTTCGCCAAAAACTAATCAGCACATCGTCCATGTTAAAAAGTTAAAAAATAATTATTGTTAAAAGAAAGTATGATATATATTTCTAATCAAATAATTACACTAATTGAAATAGACAAAAATTGCACATGTTAAAATAAACAAACTCTTCGGCAAAAAAATTCGGTCTTCAGATATTAGTAAAACATTGGAATTAAATAATTATTCCGAAGAAGGTTCTTTATTGCCAAATCATTCGATTAGCTAATTTTATAATTTTTCGTCTGTTCAAGTCTTTCTGAATGAAAATGATTAGAAACCACCGACTTAATCAATAACTAATTAGACAAAACTTTGCAATCTACAATTGATTAATTTGATTAAAAAACTTATAATCATAATAACAAATTCGCACATAGAATGTACACATGGGGCATAACCTATAAGATCGGGCCATTATTTCAAAATATAATAAAATTTTATATTGTCGTTCCATAAAATTTATGTTAGTTTAGACTATAATTTTTGTCTCTATACAGAGAATTTTTTGAATTCTACAATTAATTACGAAGAAACGGCGCGGCCGATTTTTACGAAGAACTAATCAGCACGATAGCCAACTGAAAATAAAGGAATTTTTGAATTTCCAAAATCGGTTCAGAAATGTCGAAATGTCGGATTATTTAAAAATATAATTTAGTCGACGGCATCAGAGCGGATCAACCGATTTAAATGATTAAAAGAACATTCGATTTCTGTTGATAAATTGGCAAAGGCAGATCCAGCAATTTAGGAGATGCAAAAACAGTTAAAAGATTATCAATCAATTTGGTGATGCATCAGTTTTTGGAAGAACTCATCATCCGATTATAATGTTTAAAAACAATATATCGCTTGTGTTGACGGTATGAAACAATGATTAGTTTCAAATTAACAGTATTTATAATATTTGTTTAAAAAAAATTCAACCCATTGTTATTTCTCGTTGATCAATGTTATTTCTCGTTGATGGAGCATTGATCAATTATATTCCTTGAATATTTATTTACTGTTTGGATACGTTAAGATAACTACTTGTTTATATTCCCAAATGGTATAATTATTTACATTATGCTCACATAAGAAACATACAAATATAAACAACCAGAAAACTAGCCGTCTTGCGCGGAGTTATTTAGATTTAATAATCTATAATAGTGATGACAGACGATATTAGATAGTGTCCATAAGAGATAAGAGAGTAAACTGAGAGTGCCCGTAAACCACTAATCACCATCTTTACTCGCACATCAGCATAAAAAAATTAAATAAAAATTAAAAACTAAACTTTAAATAATTAAAATTTTTAAAAGAGGCCCCTTGAAGCGCGAGGCCGTCAGCGGTCGCCGACACCGCCGACGCCTAGCGCCGCTACTGTATGTATATGTATATATGTATATATATATATATATATATATATATATATATGTATATGTGTATGTGTTTGTACATGTATATTGTATATATATATATATATATATATATATATATATATATATATATATGTACTGCATATATGTATATTTATGTATAAGTATTGCGCTTTTGTATGTTTGTATATATTTCTTTTTACTTTTCATTTCTTATGTTTGTCTATCTCTTTAGTTAAAATTGTTATTGTTGTTATAATATAATACTTGTATCTATAGTTCTTTCTCCAATTTCTGTCATTTTTTTCTAGTTTATATTAATTTCTCAATGTTCATTCTAATGATGACATAAAATCCTATGTCGAAACGTTTGGAAAAAGATTAACTTCTAAATTTCTGCCTTTTATTTGAAGTATTGCCCTTGATTGATTGATTTAACTCATATATATATATATATATATATATATATATATATATATATATATATATATTAAGTAGAGGGAAAAAGATGTGCAACCAGTCATCACCATAACTGTTGCTAGTCTTTTCCCTTGCCAGGTAAACTCAAGATTAACTTTGTGTTTTTCGACGCTTTAAGTCATTTTAAACCATGTGAAAAGTAATCATCTCTCGCCTAATCTAGAAATCATTTAAATTAAAAAAATGAAACAAAAAAGAATGTTTTTTCCCAAAGCAATCTTTTTGTTAACACAAGCAGAAGGTTTTTTTAATTATTTAAATTTGACCTTTGCCAAAATTAAACTACCTTTTCTACCCATCATTACAAATTGAATGTTTATAGGATCATTCAAATCATGCTCCGTTTTCTCAGAAACTTGATTTCTATTTGTTGCACTCTTTGCTTTCCGAAACGGCTGAACCTGCCTTTGCCAAAAACTAATCAGCTCATCTCACTATCAATTGAAATCGAATATTTTTTTAACCATTCAAATCGGTTGATCCGTGCGCTCGAAAACGTGGACGCATGAATTGTATTCATGCTCAACTGATTTGAAAAATTGAAAAAGCATAAAATACAAAATTATTTTTATTTTTACACTGTGTGAGTTAAGATTCATTTATTTAACGTAAACATATAAAATCGTCATCGTACAGTTTATAAGCTCCTATATTTTGTCTATAACATACAAATAACGAACTATACTGTATTTATAATAATCTATTTGAAATCATTTATTATTCCTCGAATATTTTATTACGGTACCAGAAGTTCCAGCAATTTGTCTTAAGGCACGATGCCATGCACTACTAGTTTGGTTATACACATTGCTGTTTAGTTCACAACCTTAATTTGTGTCAAAAGTTGATTTCGTGATTTGATAAGTCTCAATATAATTTTTAAGTATACATTATTTGATTATTTTCAAAATGTATTTTCAATTTTAAGTTAGATTCAATCGTTTTTTGTATAATCTCTAAAAAGCTTAAATGTGGGTGGAATGAAAAAGACCAACTACATTAATGAACCTTTACCCTGGCAAAAGTGTAAACAATTAGTTTAAATAAGGGTAAACAAATTTAACTATCAACCCTTCTATTGACCTATTCTATGTACTCTTCAACGTAACTTCATTCTTCTTTTTTCTTCTTTATTATCTATCATTATATCTTCTATATTCTTACGTCTTCATCACTTCTATTCTTACTTTCATTACTTCCTTCAATTACTTATATTCAATTTTATTTTTATTCTCAAACTTTTTTATACATGATTGAACTATTTTTAATACGATTTCAAACTATTTTTAACATTATTTCAAACTATTTTTTACATTATGTCAAACTATTTTTAACAGTATTTCTATATTTTGCCGGGGATTCGAATTCCGAACCTTCGGCGTGTCGGAAACGCTACACATGAGCTAATGCCGCCACAAATTGACCCTCTTTGGGGAATGGAATAATGCGAGGTTACACTCTATTTTATCGGAGGATTGGCTCATTAAATATCTTATACATTTGGATCATAATTTACCTCACCGCCGCTTTCGCATCTGATGCGTCATCTCATTCATCGGAAATCGTTTCTATTCTTGTTTTTATTTGCAGATTTGATTGTGGTTCTGGACTAGGAATAATACGGTCTGAGCAAACTATTATCCTCAATAAGTGGAATAAAATTACTTTGTACAGACATCGCTGGGATGCGTGGATTCAGCTAAATGACGGCAAACGAATTCAGGGCCGATCCAAGGTGAGAATTATATATTTTGTACACGATCCAATTTGTATTGATTTTTATAGAATATTTTAGTATATAATAATTTAAAATTATTTACTTACTTATTGAAGACGCCCGGCACAATGTTTATTATAAAAAGTCAATTAAAAAATCACTACACACGGACACTTTTTTACCTCGAAGGACCAGATATAATTAATTATTAAAAAGGCTATATCAGACCTGAAATAATATAGAACTGAATGGAAAATAATAACTGGTTTAGAATTTGTTTGTAGAAATGTAATGTATTTAATTTTAGTTAGTTGTATTAGATGTTATCGGGTCAAGGTATACGTACAGAATCAATAATTTCTTATAACTAGCTTAGTACCTACCTATCTCAGGTAGAGAGAGATGGATTAATAAAATTTGTGAGGCTCGAACATGCCGCCACGTTTGAAAAAACAATGGGAAATTAATTTACATGATTTTTCAATATTACTTCATATAGTTATAGTGTTATAGTAAACTTACAATATAAATATATAAAGATTAATTAGTTATAATAATATGTAAAAATGATTGATTTTAATATCACTTAAATTTTAGTAACGTTTAAAGTCTTGTGATAACACAGTTTATGAATTCACTATTGATTATAATGTCCATTAGTAACACTCACAGGTTTGGTGTTTAAAGTCTCAAGATAAAATAGTTTATGCATTGATTTGTAAGATATGGTATATATCACTGTTAATTGTTAGTACACAAAGTTTTATTGTTGTACAATTCACCACACTATTGTTTGTTTTATTTGTCACAAGGGCCTTTTTTCACTATCCTCCACGAAAAAACAAGTGCATGTCAGATTGAATTTTACGGTTTATTAAAATTGCATGAAAAGCTTACAAAAGTGTACAGATAATTAAATAATTGCTTACAAAAAACCATACATAATCGAGATTCTAATGTGCGTTTGTGGAATATGGAATCGGACAGTAAACCATCAGAAATCCCAAAACTACGAAAGACCGTTATTGGATCCAGCAAATACAGCAAGATACCTCGCGAAGAAGGTCGGACCAATATGTTTACATCGGAAAAGGTCTCGCTGCGTTCAACTTCATCAGTTTCTGATTCAAGACAGGAAGTAATATCATCTAGTAATAATGCATCTACAAGCCTCACTCAACCACATTCTGATGTCAAGAAACCTCCTAATTCATGGCAAGTAGTCAATTTCAAAAAAAGAAAAACTTCATTTGAACCATTAGGAATAGATGTCAAAATTCAAAACAGATTTTCGGCCCTTTCAACAATAGACACAGCTAATGATGACAACTTAGTTAAACCGGCCCCAGTCAGTAAGCCCCCTCCAATATTTATTTACGGAGTTGACGATATTAATGATATGTCTAATCAATTAAATGAAATAATTCCGCATGATCAATATTTCCTGAGAAGTTTAGCTAACAATACATTTAAAATTCTATGTAATTCTGTCGACCATTTTCGAACTTTATCCAAACATCTAAAAGAAACTAATGCCGTGTATCATACATATCAATTAAAAGAAGAGAAGGCTTATAGGGTTGTTCTTAGAAATGTACACTTTTCGACAAGCACAGATGCAATTAAATTAGAACTATTAAAACAGGGTCATGTCGTACGTAATATCCTAAATATTAGACATAGAATAACAAAAGAACCTCTTAATATGTTTTTTGTTGATCTGGAACCAAATAGAAATAACAAAAATATTTATAACATTTATAAATTATTCAACTGCATAATACGCGTCGAACCACCGAGAAAGTCCAACAACATTATACAATGCACTCGCTGTCAACTCTTTAATCACACCAAAAAATACTGGAATAGACCATTTGCTTGCCTAAAATGCGGTGACAATCATAATACTAAAGCTTGTACCAAAGATCCGAATGCTCCGGCATGTTGTTATTTTTGCGACGGTGCTCATCCAGCTAATTATCGCGGTTGCTCATACTTCCAAAAAATTAAAGAACAAAGAAACAAAACTCCAGTAAATCAATCAGTCATAAATCCAAATCCAAATAACCAAAATTTTAATAATTCTAATAATTCTAATTCTAATAATAAAATAAACAACATTTCTCCGGCCTTAAATCAAACAATTCAAAATTCATCCTATGCAGACATTGCAAAAAACAATTACTCTGCTTCTAATCATTCACCTTCAAATCCCGATTCTGATTCTCTAGCAACACTTATTTTAGAATTTAAAAATATCTTCAATCAGCTTTTGCAACAGAACACCATAATAATAAATATGTTATCCACGTTAGTCAACAACAAAAGCAATGGCAAAAATAATTAAAATTGCTGAATGGAATGCCAACGGTTTAATACCTCACAAAAATGAAGTAGAATGTTTTTTAAAGTTAAACTTAATAGATATCTTATTAATCTCAGAAACTCACTTCACTGAAAAAAACTACTTTAAAATTTATAACTACACTACTTATAATTCAAATCACCCAAGTGGCAGGGCTCGCGGCGGTTCGGCTATATTAATCAAAAATAATATAAAGCATTTTGTTCTACCAAATATTTCTGATGATTTTCTACAAGCAACTCAAATTTCTGTTGAAACAAATTTATATAATTTTTGTGTTTCTGCTGTTTATTGTCCACCAAGATTCAAAATTTCTTGTGCTCAGTTTTCTTCATTTTTCTCTCAATTAGGTAATAAATTTATCATTGGTGGTGACTTTAATTGTAAACATATTGCCTGGGGTTCTAGACTGACTACAGCCAAAGGAAAGATTCTTCATGCAGCCATAGGGCAAAATAACCTCTCCTTTATTTCAACTTGCAGTCCAACTTATTGGCCTTCTGACCCTACTAAAGTTCCAGACCTTTTAGATTTTTTTATTGTGAAAGGTATTGATCTTTCAAATCTCAATGTTGAATCTAGTTACGATCTCTCTTCAGATCATTCTCCAATACTTGTGACGTTTAGCACATTTCCTACTCCAGTTATCAACAATCATATTCTACACAACAATCTTTCTAACTGGATTCAATTCAAATCCATACTTGATTCAAAATTATTTCCAAAATCTAGGCCTACAAGCGTTATTGATATAGAAAATAATATAGATTATTTTTCTGAGATTGTACGTGAAACAACCAAGCAGATCACCCCGAACATTATTCCAAGAAATGATAATCTAATAATTCCGCAAGAGATTAAGAAGCTTATTGCACAGAAACGAAGAGCAAGACGTACCTGGCAACATTCTCATCTACCAACGGATAAGACATCGCTCAATCATCTCAATAACACGCTGAGGAAAAAAATGAAAGAATGGAAGAATTGTACATTCAGGTCGTATATATTGCAGCTAAATAGATACGATAATTCCATATGGAAACCAATCAGAAACAAAAGTAAACCCCTACAACAAAACCCTCCTCTGAAAATAACCAATCAAAACGGATTCATTTGGGCAAAAAGCAACGAAGAAAAAGCGGAGGCATTTGCTGATCATCTAAGTAGCATTTTTAGCGCTCGAAATATTTCCCAGAATAATTTAATTAACAATTTCGTAAATCAACCCATACATTCTACACCGTTAGGACATTTTTCACCAAATGACGTCTTATGTGAAATAAAAAGGATAAAAAATAGATCTTCGCCGGGTATGGATAAAATTACTCCAAAGATGTTAAAAGAATTGCCTACAAAAGGTATTTTATATATAACAAATATTTTCAACGCCATACTTCAATACAATTATTGGCCCACAGCGTGGAAGACTGCAGAAATTATTATGATCGCTAAACCAAACAAAAACCATCACACTGCTATTCATACCGTCCTATCAGTTTTTATCGATATTAAAAATTTTAGAGAGACTTTTGTTGCAGAGATTGTCAGAAGATCATCCGAATGATAGTTGGATTCCTCACCATCAGTTTGGCTTCAGAAAAAATCACTCTACAATTCAACAATGCAACAGAACGGTGTCTCGTATTCTTGAAGCCATGAATAGAAAGGAACACAGCGTAGCCGTATTCTTAGATGTCAGTCAGGCTTTTGATAAGGTTTGGCACTCAGGACTCCTATATAAAATCAAAACAACTTTTCCAAACTACTTCAATATCTTAAGCTCATATTTGCTTAATAGAAAATTTAGAATCAAAATTAAAGATGTGACTTCGAGCATCAGAAATATAAAATGCGGGGTACCACAGGGCAGTGTGCTAAGCCCTGTACTTTATCTTCTTTTCACAAACGATATGCCCACAGATGATCTTCTAACCATATGCACTTACGCCGATGACATAGCAATTATTTCATGCAATTCCGATATTAGAACAGCAACTTGTCAGTTACAAAATTATTTATCTAGTCTCGAAAAATGGTTTTTAGATTGGAATATCAAAATCAATATCGAAAAATCTCAGCACATAATTGTTTCTCTAAAACATCACAACAGTCCACCTATCATCATGAACAATTCAATAATTCCACTATGCAATTCTGTTAAATATTTAGGCATGCACATTGATTCGAAATTGACATGGAGAACGCACATTGAATATAAAAAGAAACAAATCCAACTGAAAATAAAAGATTTTTACTGGCTTTTTGGGAGGAAATCTGAAATCTCTCTCGATAATAAGGTACTTTTGTATAAAACTATCATAGTGCCCATTTGGACTTATGGAATCGAACTATGGGGTTGCTCTTGCAAATCTAACATAAACATCATTCAAAGGTGCCAGAATAAAATTCTGCGTATCCTTACTAATGCGCCTTGGTATATTTCGAATTTTTGCCTACATAAGGATTTGAAAATCTCAACTGTCAACGAAATGATCAAGATTAGAAGTTCATCTTTCAACAACAAATTAATCCAGCATACAAATCCTACAATTCAAGCGATTCAGAGACCGATAAGAAGATTGAGCAAGAAATGGCCTTCCGATCTACCAAACACCTAGCCCAATGTCTGCACGCGTCCTGACGTAGTACGCGG